TAAATTCTCCTCACATAGATATGGGGTATCTGCACGTGCTACAGCTGCCATTACTACGGCAACACTTTTTGATGCAGGATTAATAACATCTGATGATAAAAAGTTCGTTATTGACCATGGTAATGCTTCTAGAGCGCAAAAAAAATTATCTCTGATCTTAGTAAAAATTTTTGACAAAGTAGCAAAATGTGGAGAAGTAAAAGCATTTTTTTAATGGGAATTGATCAAATCAAACAAATGGATGAACTTGATAACTCAAATGCAAAAATTTTAGTAACTGTTAGTAACTGATATAAGAGTACTACTCTGTCTGTATGGAATCTGGAGGAAAATATTTCACTTTACTCATAAGAAAGTAACAAAGTGTTAAACATGCAGAGATAGCAAATAAAATTGTTGAATGGTTGACTGAGAGAGGTATTGTCATGTATTTATCGGCTGTTGGTGGAGAATACCAGGGTGAAGTAACCAAACATATAGAAATAAAATTAGAAAGGAAACTTGTTTGGCTTTTATGTCAACTCCATACAAATGATTTTTCACTGAAGCAATATATAACCTACTCAGATGGTGAAACGAAATCTATTAATTGATGATCTGATATTATTGGGTCCATGGTTACAGATCTTGCTACAGATCTAGATATAAAAATCAGTATATTACAAATTTTAAATTTATCACAAATTGGGCCTGTTTCACCTTCAAGATGGTTAAGATGTAGAAGTTGGATCTGTAAACATGGAGTTTTAGATAAAAGTTTAGAAAGTTTAAGGTCTATTACCGAGTTTATTGTGTGCGTTTATTTTCCTTGTTGTTTTAAGATTAAAGTTTAACATTTTTGGATTGAAGGTCCTAAACATGTAGTTTACCAGCTGCAGTAACTCAAATTTCAGAAAGAAGATGTCGTTAAAATAGTATCATCTTCTATTCAAAGATCAGCTTGGATTTGTTTTTGTGAGTGCATACTATAAACATTTTTGCTTAGTAATACAGAAGAGGATAAAAGTGTAGCTATTAAAAAGATAAAAGATATTATAAGTACTAGAAACGAAGATCACCAAAAAAGTGATTCTTCTCCTAGACTAAGAAAAAATGCTGTTCTGACCTTTAATACTGAAAAATTGGTAGACCTGATATCATGGGAGTCACCGATTTAAGAACCTATCTAGTCTAAATTTACCACTCTAACTTACCTCTATAAAAACTTCTAAAATTAATATGTTTTTATCAAACCCAATTTAAATTCCGATTTGACCATGTCATAAACAATCTGTTGAACGTTGCGTAAAGCAAGTTACAGAAGCTTCAAGTAGAGTGTATACTCATAAAAATAGAGTAGGATTTGTCTACTCAAGAGGCGAGTAGAAATTTAATACCTAAAAATGATATTAAACAAGACCTTATAATTTTGACACAAATATTTTGTATTAAAATTATAATATTTTTTGAAACAGTTCGGTTTCTTAAAAAAATATTTTGTTGTATTCCTAACATCGATACCAATAAAATTATTACGCAATAATAGGCCAATATGTATTTAAAATACGTTGAAAAATATTTTAATATTTGATACTTTTCATAGTTAAATTATTCTCAATCTAATTCTAGTTTTAAATTAACATTAAGTCAAATTTGAAAATAAAAATATTCCTTTTAAATTTTATTCAAATTTTTAAAGAAAGTATATTCATATTAAAATTAGTTTTAATCAACATTTATAGCCCAACTGATATTTAATAAATAAAGTAAAAAAAAAGCTTATTAATGTTTAAATGAATTTTTTTAATATTTAAGTAAAAAACAGGTTCTTTGTGAAACCAGATCAAAATTTTAGTAAAATATAAAAATGGACTTTTTACATTAGACTAATAATAATGACCTATGCAAAAAATTTATTTTTTCAAAAATTAATGCCATATTTAGATTCTCCATAAAATTCTGCTTTTAGTAGTTCCCATTTTACTTTTAGTAAAATGGGAACTACTAAAAGTAAAATGGGAAATTCTACTTTTAGTACTTCCCATTTTTTTTCTCAAACAAAATCCATAATTTAAACCCGCTATTAACGAATACTAGTGGCTAAAAATTATAGATAGTTAACCGGTAACTAGTATCGCTTTAACGGAGTTAATTATTAATTAACGGCGTTATGCCCAACACTGATTACAACTTTTAAGTTTAAAATTACATCTTATTAAACATCTTATGTTTCTTAATTACAAATTTTAAGTTCTCAATTACATCTTGAAAAGACGTGGAAATAAATTCATTTAATAACGCAAATTCATTTAAAAAACTTCACAAATATTGCATTGTTACTTATCTTTAAGTCTTCACAAACATTGCATTGATAGTTATCTTTAAGTTTCCACAAACATTGCATTGTTACTTATCTTAAAGATTGTTACTTAGCTTAAAGACTTCACAAACACTGCATTGATACTTATCTTTAAGTCTTCACAAACATTGCATTGATACTTATCTTTAAGTCTTCACAAACATTTCATTGATACTTATCTTTAAGTCTTCCCAAACATTGCATTAATACTTATCTTTAAGTCTCCACAAACATTGCATTGATACTTATTGCAGTTAATCTTCTCAAAAAAAATTTAATGTTGTTGTAATCTTCCTTTAATTGTGTTAAGTAACACACGAAATAAAGGGTGTGGTTCCTATTATATAAAAGAACACCTTTAACGCTACAAATAAAACTTAACACTATAAACTATCAACACTCGTAATGCTCTATTTTCATTCCAGAATTCAATTTCTCTCAAAATACCATCAACATCCCAGCAGAAACACAAGCAATCCGATGCTTATTAAAACTGAGAAATAGACTGATGCGCTGCCTTGTGTATTGAAATCTTGCACAATGAATCAAATAAGTTCCAATATTTTAGCATGGATGTCAATAATTTAGCTCCAGACATTGATAAACTTAGGTCACACACCAAATTATTCATTTTGCTTTGTTTAGAAAAATGTGGCTGCTTAAAAAGTGATGGATGCCATTCTTCAGATTTATCTGCAGAGTTATCTTTATTGGTATAATTTAATAGTGAAGTTGACCAAATGAGAACTGACAATGTTCATTATAAGGAACTGATGCAATTGATAACGGAATATCAAGATATCTTAGCCTTGATCTACTTGTAATTCTTTACTATCTTGATATACCGATCATACATATTCTGTAGTGTAATCCGTCTCTCCACAGACGAGTAATGGCAAATGGCATGCTTTTTTAATTTAACTCTCCAAAACTAATCTGCAAGTACCACATAACAAATGTGGATTTCTCTTCCTGATCAACTGTTTAGATCCAAAAATACGCTGCATATCCGGTTGATAGCATGATATAGTTTATATATATCATTGCAGATAGTTTACATTTTTAGAGAAAATGACATAGTTATTTGCTACTATCATCCCATCTCTGTTCTTTCGGTATTTTCAAAAATTTCAAAAAATTCAATCTTGCTGTTTTGTCTTTAATCCCTTAAAACGACACTGATAACAGCGCACTAAACCACTGAGCAATCAGTGATAAACAGTTAAGAGTAAAACAAACCTAATTAAAAATCTCTTATAAGCTCTAGGTATGCTGAAAGGGTGCGCATGCTAATTGTTTTGCTTATGAGCCGTTTTTTCTAAGAATCAGGCAAATTCCTGAAACTGTGGAAGTAACCTCGTCCAAATTGCTTGAATTTTTTATATATTGATCAGAATATAGAGAAAACCTGTTGGGGAAAAAAAAAATTTTCAAAAATGTTTCGTTCACTCGGACTTAAATTTTTGAGACTTTTTTAAAAATTTTTAGAAATTTAGTTTTTGCCACCTTTGAACCCATTTTTTTGGCAAGGTAAAAAGTTGCACATAGCTTTTGTAGTTAATATCAGACGTAACCCAAAAGCTCTCTCCAAAAAATATAAAAAAGTTGCGTGACACTGTGCGGTTGGCTAATTATCATAGTTCAAAAGTACAAAATCAATCAGTTTTGTCAATTTTTAATCGGAGTTAATTCTAGCGGCGAAGTGTTGCACACAATTTTTTTTTTAGGATTTGAAATTATCAAAGGTATTGAGTCTAAAAATGCAAAGAAAGTTATGTGATACCTAAGGCCTAATAATATATTAAGGCTTGAAATTGGAAAAAAATGTTATAGTATACTTACAAAATGAGCTATTACGGCAGAGGCGCTTAGTTTTGTAAAAATGTAAACATATCCAACTGTCAATACAAAAAGGTCCTAACATAATAATAAAAAAAATTCGTGTGATTTTGTCACACGCATGATATAACATAAATTAAAAACTGAACAAAAATCTAACATCAAGATAACTATATTGCTAATTAAATAAAACATAAATCAAACATTTAAATGTTTTTCCATTTAAAAATTAGTTTTTCATTTATTAATAGAGTCATTTACACACATTATACACCACATCACACATAATTTCTACTCTGCTGCAGTAAGTTTCTCTAAGAATAATGATATGACTGTATTATAGTCTTCTTCGGATAATGAATAATCGCCACAACCACTGATTAGAATAGGAGCATTTGCTAAACAGATAATTTTATCAGTTTGGTTATTTATCTCCTCGGTAGTAACTGGCCAGCGAAAAGTATTCTTCTCTTGGCCGTTAATCATACAATTAACTCTGATCCCAGTTATAGATACCTAAAAGTATTAGCGCAACATTTAAAATAATATAATAAAGAATTTACGATTTGTTTAATTTTGCTTACATTCAATAAAACTTGTAAAGTCTTATATAATGTCATTCTGAAATTATTTTTACATTTTATTTATATTCCTTTTATTTTAGAGCACTGTTTTGTAAAACAAAATAAAAACTTGAAACTAATATATACTTTGAATAATATTACCTCCACAATATATCCAATATTCCATTGTTTTTCATATGCAACAACAACCCAATCATTCACTTTCCATACAAGACGAATTTCTTTTGCAAGATTGGCGATGTCTTCCTCATGTTTATTATCATCTTCATTGTCTCCTGTCAGATTAAAGTCATCATTTTCGCCATAAACTTCTTTGTTATCGTTAACCTGACTATTTTCATTATTTTCTGTTGTCGGTTCTACCAGCTTACCTTTTCTTTTCAGGTTACTAAATCTATAACAATATCAATTGTACATATTTTTAAACATATGTAAACAAACACACAAAATTATAACTTTCACCTAAATTTTAATTTCATATTTGTAAAAGAACTATTTAACAGTCAGAAACATAATCTAATTTGCAAAAGTTTTGATAGCAACAATGCTTACCTTGAAAATAAAGATCTTATCTGTTGGCTAGTTACATATTGATCAGGCAGAAGTTCTCTCCTCAGCTGCATGTGAACCTGCTCAGGGCTCATTTTATTACCTGATTCTTCTCCACGAATAAAGTATTTATACAACAGTTCTTTCTGCTGATTTGAAAATCTAAAAGAACTTCAAACTGGTAATGCCCAACCTTGCAATAGAAAAATGTTCATGCAATGTGGTTTGTCTTTTACGGAAGCACTGTTAGAAGATGAAGAAATTGGCATATTTAGTTGCGAAGTAATTTTCATCTTATGAACAAACGAGTTGCGAACTTTATCCAATGATGTTAATGATTTTGGAACTGTATGAAGACCGGATAGCATGTGTTCTTCTAACTCAGCATCGCTTTCAAATGATAAAGTACAATTTATTTCAGTGCAAAATCTTAATGAATATAATTGCCTGTCACTTCTTTTCTGTTTTTCCTTAAGTGACTTGTTACGCTTTATTGAATTATCTGTTTTGCTATATGGCAACAACAACTTAATCGAGGGTTGAATTTTAAGATTTCCATACTCTTGTTCAATTCCCTCACCGATATTGAAATAATGCCATATCTTCATACTTTTCTCACCAAACTCAAATGAGTGATAGTTGCTAATGTTCTTAATCTTTGGTCCAGTAACTACAGTTTTATCATTGCTAATTTGAGCAACTGCTACTTTTGCATCTTTAGCGCCAAAACTATAATGCATAGCCTTGTGTATATCTTCAGCAGTCAAAAGATTATTACCAGAGTCAACGTAACTCCTTAAAATTGTCTTTACAACTGCACTCTCCCTGTCACATTGATCTTTTCCACAACAGGGTTCATTATAATCATATCTCAGCAACTTTATATCTCTCTCTTTGCATACATTGTAGATTGCTTCAGCTGAAAGATTTCCCTGATAGCAGCCGGCATTATCAGATTTGGTAAACATTTTCTTGATATGCGGTTGATCAATTCTGAGTTGGTCTAAAACTGAAGTGGCTAACGAAACAACATCACCTATTCCCTGATCACACCTATACATTGAAGTAAAGTAAACACGTTTGAATAACTTTCCTGCTATTTTTATGAAGAATATATCCACATGTAAACTCATTCCTTTCTTGCCAAAATACTCTCTTTGGCCCTCTCTGTATCAAACCGGAAGAATTTTTTGACAAAAATCTTTTAGCCAGAAAGCAGTTTAATCGTTTAATTGCTTAAAAGCTTCGATTTTTGCCTTTTTCTGTTGAGAATCTCTCATCAGGTGTTTTATGTAGTTGAATACATCCTTTACAGCAATTTCCAAATCATAAATAGAATCAGCATCGTCAGAATTTTGAATTGTTAGTTCTTTGATCATCTCGATAGCTTTGCACAAATCATAGCAATCGGCACATACCACTTCTGATATCTCTGTGTTGAATTGAAGATTTTTTTCAGATGGATCTGATAAGGCATGTTTTGAGCTATGAGAAGAAATGTTTGAGTCATTGACACTACAATTGGTTTGATAACTTGTTTTCAAATACCTTTTTCCTTTTTCAAGAGCAGCTTCGAGAGATTTAGAACTAAATCTTTGTGCCAATTTTTGTAATGTTTGAAAACCATTCATGCCTGAAGCAATAACATTATCTAATCCAGTTAAGCTTTTTAGACTTGAAGGTTTTATTGCATGCAATATTTTCCACAAACTTGAATCAGATAATGGTATATAATTGTTTTCACTACAACTTTTTCGATAGAACATGATAGCGTGGCTATATTTTGTCGTCAGTATTGCATGCACTATCTTTTGTTCTTCACCGCTGTCGTATTTTAATTTGGTTATTCCATAAGCAACATTATGCAAAATACCGCTTGTAAATATAAAGTCTAAGAAATGTTCACACTTTGTTTGATCAAGACTAGATTGGACGAATACTTTCTTCTCTGGAAATGCCAACCCTTTATGAGATGCATGCCATTTTCTTGCTGTTTCTATACGATGTTTGGTACACTCAAATGTGTTCATTATAAACTTTTTGGTATACTTGGTATGGTCTAATAATGAGAGGATAACTAACTTTCCCATGGAATCACTTTGCTTATATACTTTCTGAGCACGAATAATTTCAATTGGGAGAGGGCTATTTATTTCATCAACATTTTTACTGTTAAGAAAATCTATAAGTATTTCCTTTTGTCCAGGAGCAACAGCTTCCGCAAATTTTTTCTTTAATAAGTTTTCTAGGCGAACATACTTGCGTTTTAACTTATCTTTAGTAGTATCTTCCAGATATTCAAACTTCCTTTTTAATCTAAATTTTATTGGACTTGCATTAAGAACCTCAGTTACACTCTCACGGCTTCTTAGACATTCGTCCAAAATCTCCTGTGAAACACTAATTTCACCGGGATCAAATTCTTCATCTGGAGTAGCAAGTGTCATATATGTTTGTTCTTGTTGTGTTTGTGTTTCTGTACATAAATTGGTGTTTTCGTTGACTCTAGATAAAGCAGTTTCTTGCTTTAAATGGGTATAACACAGCATTGCACCAACTGAAAATACTTCATTGTATCGCTTTTACATTGATATGACGACATGTTTTGGTGACGCCCTTAAAGCGGGAGATTTTTTTCCTTTTATATTTAGATGGTGAGGATGAAAGCATGTTTTTGCAGGACTCCATGCAATACCAAACGTGTACCGGTGAAAAGCACATATTTGTACATCCTTTTCAAGATTTCTTTTAAGTCTATTTGCAATAAGTCCATTTTCTTCCCAAATATTATTATCGTTTAATCGCATGACCTAAAAACAATTTTTTAAACAATTATTAAGTGTGTCATTTAAAGCATTGTTTATAATCTGGCTCATCACGAAAAATGTTTACAAGTTTGAAATACATTGTTGTTATTATTAAAATACAATATTGCAAGAGTGTGATTAATTTAGTGATTATTTATTAAAAGAGTGAGGAATTAATTAAAAGAGCTATTTTTTTTTGTTTAAAGAACTTTGTCTCAAAATCTTATTGCAGAGAAGTTATAAAGTATGTAATTATAAAAATTATATTACAGTCTGCGTAAATTTAAAATACATAATTACCTTTAAGTTGATGAGGTGTTTCTTAACATCAACATCTCCCAGCTGATGAATGTAGAACATTTTGTTTATAATTTTATGTTTTTTGAATGATCCACAATTTCCTTTTGAAAAGCAACAACAGTTTTCATAAAAATATTTGTTTTGTTCCATACTCAACTAAAAACAAGTTCTATTTATGCAGTACCTATTTCTCAATAGCAATGATAAAATATCTACTCTATTTATGCAAATTTTAAAGATCGTTAAAATAAAGTTAAGACATTTTTATGGTAAAGTAAACAACCGCCCACTAACTTGTTTCTCCACAATCGTGATAACAGCGATTCTTCTTCCATTCGATCACCACAAGTTATTTGGTTATGACGTAAATTTAAATAATTCACTTCTGATCATGTATTGTTTTTTATTATTATTTATTTCAATTGTTATGATTTCTATATCATAGTCAGAAACGCTTAAATTTTTTCTTAACATTACGTGCAATGTTTTGTGTTATGCTAATTGCTAATTTTGGATGATAGAAATTTTATTGTGAGCGAAAACCTCATCTGTGTGTCCAAAAAAATATCTCTTCGTACTTTATCATTTTTAACAATTTGTACCTTTATTTTTAACTTAATATCTAAAGATCACATGAGTTTTTTTTTTAAACTATGTTAGGGTCATCTTTTATTGACCATTTAACATGATTATATTTTTACAAAACTTAGCGCCTCTGCCGTAATAGCTCATTTTGTAAGTATACTATAACATTTTTTTCCAATTTCAAGCCTTAATATATTATTAGGCCTTAGGTATCACATAACTTTCTTTGTATTTTTAGACTCAATACCTTTGATAATTTCAAATCCTAAAAAAAAAATTGTGTGCAACACTTCGCCGCTAGAATTAACTCCGATTAAAAATTGACAAAACTGATTGATTTTGTACTTTTGAACTATGATAATTAGCCAACCGCACAGTGTCACGCAACTTTTTTATATTTTTTGGAGAGAGTTTTTGGGTTACGTCTGATATTAACTACAAAAGCTATGTGCAACGTTTTGCCTTGCCAAAAAAAATGGGTTCAAAGGTGGCAAAAACTAAATTTCTAAAAATTTTTAAAAAAGTCTCAAAAATTTAAGCCCAGATTCCGAGTGAACGAAACATTTTTGAAAATTTTTTTTTTCCCCACCAGGTTTTCTCTATATTCTGATCAATATATAAAAAATTCAAGCAATTTGGAGGAGGTCACTTCCATTGACTGCCTGATTCTTACAAAAAATGACTCTTATAAAGCAATTTTTTTTAAATGAGTTACTTTACGTAAAAATATAGTAAACAAATAATATGTATAGAAATGATCGTTGTGGAATAAAAAAGTATAGAAAGGGTAGATTTTGGTAAAGACCCGTATTTTATTGGTCCCGATAGTTAAGGTATAAATATAAAGAAAAAGTATGATTATATAAATATGATCTGACCCATATTTTTACGGGTCAGATCAGCTAGTATAAATAAATGAAGAAAGAAATATATTAAATATATACTGAATACTCATCCATGACTTTAATTTCATCATCACTACATTTTGAATGTGGGTTATACCAAGCAACCATTACTTTTCCTTCTTTTACTTTTTCATGCTCATCATTAGAAGAATTTTCACTGTCATCACTATCTTCATCATTTTTTACGGTTTTTAAAACAACTCCTAACTTCTTTTCTTTATTCTGAATTACATCTTCTTCAAACAAGCCTTAATTTTTTTAATAATAAAAATAATATGATGCAATTGTTTTTTATATTATATTTTACAGCACTAAATATTGGAGGTTTATCCATGATGATTGCAATCTAATGAAAACAAAAGCTGAATGTTAAAGGAGAGCATCTTTCTAACTTTTCATTGGACCGTTGTTTTTAGGAGAACAATCAAATGGAAGTTTTGATGGTGCAGTTGGCGGAAGAGTTTATTTTGAACAACTGCACACATAAACCGTATTGATTTTACAAGATATTTTGATCCCTTTAAGTATAAGAGTCTAAGTTAATAGCTCCGTAAATGGTTAAAGGGATTATTTAAACAATAAAAAGTCTTTATTTTTATGATGGCAAAATATTCTTTGCGGAGGCCATAGAGGTGGCTTATTAAACATAATCGATGACGATTCTGATGTGATAACGAATGGTAATTTTTGAGAGTTGCTAAATTTAAATTAAACATATAAAATTCGAAAAATTTTTTTTGATATATATATATATATATATATATATATATATATATATATATATATATATATATATATATATATATATATATATATATATATATATATATATATATATATATATATATATATATATATATATCATTGCAGAAAATTTACATTTTAGAGAAAACGACATAGTTATTAGCTACTATCATCCCATCTCTGTTCTTTCGGTATTTTCAAAAATTTTAGAAAGAATAATGTTTAATAGAATATACTATAATTATATATTTATATTTAATTATATATTTAATATAAATTGCTTAAGCCAACTTTATTACTCCTTTATCCACAACAGTGCCGGATTAGGGGGCTATGGGGGGCTACAGCCCCGGGCCCTGCAATTTTAGGGGCCCCCAAAATTTGGACTTTTTTTTTTTAGTCATTTTTAGGCTCTGGCTCATAAAAAGGCCTCCAAAAACAAAAATAGCTCCGGGCCCCGAGAAGTCTTAATCCACCCCTGATCCACAGTTACTTAAATTATGCTAACACTGCTTGGGGGAGTACAGTAAAAAGTAAGTTAAAATTTCTTTATCATCGTCAAAAACATGCGATCCGCCTAATTAACTATGCTGATCGTTTTACACATACAAAAACTTTTTTTACTGAAATGAGGTTATTAAATTTATTTGAACTTAATGTATATAAAGTTTTGTGTTTTTTATATTTATTGGGAATTAATTTATCCCCTACCGCTTTTAATAATATTTTCAAACCCAAACCTAGCAACAAAAACGATATGAAAAACATAAATTTTTAAAATGAGTTGTTTTGTCACACAAAGTTTAATCAATTTTGCATTGCTTATCGTGGACCCCACCTAAGGAATAATATTGTTCTGCGGAATTTCGATTAACCAACTTCCTTTTATCTTTTCAAGCTCAATTTTAAAAAATTTTATTACTTTTTCATTGTAATTTTTACTTTATTTTATTGTATGTTATACATGTCTTTATTTTGCTTGGTTGTGTTATATAAAGTTTTGACGACAAGATCTTGTGATTTTCTTTTAGATCCTAGCTTATGTTTCATTGTTAGCAGTTTATATATGTGCACATCTATACATTTGTAAGTATAGATATGCTTATATTTAAATGTGTGAGTGTTTTTCTTATTTTAATTATGCTGATAGTTGAATTTTTTTAATTGTAACAACATATATACGGTATATTATTGTAGTGTGCTATTTTAATGTTAGCGAATTAAAAAAAAAAAAAGTTAAGTTAAACAATATCTAAAACAGAAAAGACCAGTGGCCGTTTTCTCTTCTCTCAGTTAAGCTTAACGGAGCGTTTGTCAAAAATTTCTTTTTAACTAAATTAATAAAAAAATTCTTTAAAATTATAATTTTTTAAATAAAATTGTTTTACTTTAGTAGTAATTTTATTTAAACAAATTTAAAGAAAGTTTTTGTCATTTCTTTACTTAAAAATGTTGTAATGAAATTTTTGACAAACGCTCCGTTAAGCTTAACAGAAAGATTAGACAATACTCGGCAGCAGACAATAATAAAACAGTTTTATAAAAAAAGGGTTTTATTAAAAAAAAAAGCAGATAAACACAAAAAAAACATATCAAAAATAACTAGAGAAATTAGATAAAAATTAATGTGATACTTGAATTCATATCAGAAGGTTGGAAGTGATACTTGAATTCATATCAGAAGGTTGGAAGTGATACTTAAATTCATATATCAGAAGGTTGGAAGTACTCCAGGTTCGAAACGAACTCTTCACAGCAAGATAAGGAAGGAGGCGTGAACTTCCTAGTTAAATGCACTTCTGCGGTATTCTGTGACAAGACCGTTAGGCCTTCTTGGGGCATCTAAATAACAAAATTAAAAAGAAAAAAACTATAGAAAACCTCTAAAGGTCAAATAACTAATTTTTTGCTTCGTTGTGTGATTTCTCTGAAAGACCCGTTAAACTTTTATATAGGACTTATTAGCTTTATCTTATGAAATACTTGTTTAATAGTGGTCAAAATTTCTACCTAACTATTTTTTAGGGTTAGGAACTTATATAGGATTTTAGGACATTGATATTGCTACAGCGGAAGAGAAGAGATAAGATTCGCTGTTATTCCTGCACAGTTACATAAAAACTTATGGAAAAAAAATCACTAAGAAAATATTAAAAGCGTTTGTTTTTTTTTATAAAAAGTCATAGGAAAGTTAGTCGACTGAAATTGAAAAACGATTTATGCTATATTGGGTATTTTTGAAAAATTACAACAAAAGAAAAAAATTGGATAAGGTTGCATGTATATGAAAATTTGTAGGCAGATTTACATAAAGTTATTCAGTTAATAAATTTAACATCCAATTTTATTTGTTTCTTCCAGCTGAGAACTAACTGTGAAAAGAAAAAATGTGCATTATTTTGACATAAAAAAAGTCTAAAACAATTGAGTCACTTGAGCAACCCCTAAAAGTTATCAAATATATATATATATATATATATATATATATATATATATATATATATATATATATATATATATATATATATATATATATATATATATATATATATATATATATATATATATATATATATATATATATATATTTCAGATATTTTAATACAATGGAATGTGAGAACATTCCATTTAAGTAAATAGCTGAAACCAATAATACATTGTAGTGTCTATGTGGATACGTAATAGAGAACTATAATGTAATACTTTTATTTATTTTTTTTTAACTTGCTTATTGACCGCAGTGAGGGTGCATATAAACGCAAATTAGATTTTTCCAAGTGTTTTTCTTCTTAATTCAAACATAGCATCTTTTTGTTGTTGTGGTGATTGTTAAGAGAAGAGCATTTAACTAGCAAGTTAATTTCCTCACCAATTCTACTTATTGACCAATGCCACTTATTGACCAATGCTTGGGGAAGTACCCTAGTAAACACAATTTGGTTCAGAATTGGTCAGTATTTAGTCAAAATTGGTCGAAAAATGGATAAAACGTTTAGCGATCTATTATTGACTAAAAATCGACTCTTGATTTGAAATGTGTATTTTAAACTTTTTTATATATACATTTACTAAACGTTGATCTAACGTTAAGAATATTGACATACATTAGTCAATATTGTAAACCCTTAATTGACCTTAATTAAACGTAAACATTTATAGATTTAAAATCTACGCTTTAAATCTTTTAACATATACGTTTTTTAAACGTCGATCAAACGTTTACAATATTGACTAATATAAGTCAATATTGTAAACGTTTTAAATTCTAAACGTTTGATCGGCGTTTAATAAACGTTTATTATATTATAATATAGTAGCACAGCCATTGGTCAGAAGACTCACATTACAGCTTAAGTCATAAATAGGCATAATCAAAACGAAATAAGAAACTTATTAAAAAATTATTTTTTATTTGTTAAATAATTAAATTAGACTTAAATGCGTTTTCAACTTCACTTCATTACAACAACTGAAAGCAAAACGACTGATAAATAAACAATAAACGAGTGTCGGGTGCGCCATTTTAATTCATGGAAGTTAAAAAGCTCTTATCGCGACAATCTACCTTCCGAAATGCCAACAAATCAATGGACTTCGATGTTTTTGAAATTATTGATGGTGACATTGACACAGTTAAAAAATACGAGTTGCTCGTCTTTCGTTATGAAAGTCATGCTAAAAACGTTTTTCGTAACTTTTATAAACAAATGAAATTCATTTTGTAAACGCTATTATGATTGTGTAACAGTAGATATTCATCTTTTCTATAATCAAGAGGTTTAATAACTAAATATATATATTTTTATTTTAGATGCATTTTAGCTTAATTTAGTTACACTTGCTAAAGAAAAATGGTGAAACAGAGCTGGTAAAAACCACTGCATAGGTTATGTCGCGACGTAACTAATTTTTTAATGTAAAAAATAAACATAGATGGTACAGGAAATTTCGGAAACTTCCTTTACTTTACCCTAGTTTTTTGCGGTTACAAATCAGGTTACGAAATCAGACAATCAGGATACGAATGTAGAAGATGATGTTGCACAAACAGGTGCATGATAAACAAGGGTAGACGGTATTCTAGGAGGATTTTTGATAATGCATAAACCAGAAAAAAAAAATGATCCAAAATATTTGTTTATGAGTTTATTATTTTTATTAGTAATTTTTGACTTAATGCTAATGTAAACTTTTATTTTCTGCTAATGAGATTAAATTTAGATTCAGAAACGCTCAATCCATATAATCAGTTTTGCAAATCGCTTCTCTCATTTATCTATTTATTTTATTTATTTGAGTTTTCATGCTATATTTTGCTGTACAATGTTATATCCGAAGATATTGTTGGCTTAGCATAGGAACAGCCACAAATAGTCATCAATCTAAAGTAGCTTTCGTTATAGACCAACATTTTTGCGTACAGAAGTACTACTCAACTGCTGAGTTGGCGGTGGTAGGATTTGAGCCCGTATCGTACAACAGTCCGGGTTTTAACATTTCATTTGACGCTCTAGCCAACTGAGTTATCCAGCCGCTAATTCGAAGCATTATTTTATTAAAATGAGAGTTCTAAATACATACGAGTTAAATGTATTTAATATTTTATGTTTTGCATATATATATGAATAAATAACTTATCTCATCCGTTTTTAAAGATCTTTTTACTTTTAAACCAGTCAGTAAATATATTTTGAGAAATAATAACTTTTTAAATAAACCTTTTTGTCAAACAAAGTTTAATCAATTCTGTATTACCTAGTGAGCGCCACACCTTTGGAATAAAATTATTAGGCCGAATTTTAATTCTAAATTACCCATTAATTTTTTGCTTTTTTAAAAATAAACTAAAAAACCTCATTCTTTTATTTGATAATATATTGTGTTAAAAATAAAAGTTAAAAATAAATTTTGGTCTACTTTTTTATTGTTTATATACATGTCTACGTTTATAGAAGTTTATTCTGACTTATTTTATTCATTACTCTTATACTTTTTAAATTTTTAAATAATTTGTTGATTTACGCCTGTACAAAATTCTGATGAGGAGATCCTCTTGATGAGGAGATCCTCTTGATCTTTCTTCAGATATATAGATTATTTACCTTGCAATTTGTAAAAGGTTATTAATATTTTGTTTATCTTATCCTTGTTAAATGCTTTTATAAGGTTCTGACGACAAGATCTTTTTTTTCAGATAACTTGTTTATATTAGTTATATTTTCTATCATTGTAAGTTTATACTATTATTTTTATTATTGGTTATATAACATATTTTGCTGCACAACAGCCGCCAAATGTAAACCAAAAAAACAAAACAACAAAAAATAGGTTAATTTAACGTTTTTTTTAAAGAAAATCTAACTTATTAGTAAAGTCTTGGTTTAATTTTATTTTGGCTCATAGTAAATTTCCGAGTTTTTTTAGAGATACTTGTGAGTGTTTTATTGAAATAGAATAAGCGTGTCTCTTTGGCAATTAGTTTATCTTACAATTTAGTAAATTACTAGATAAAAATATCATTTAAAATATTTAAAACTAACATCGAATAAAATAATTCCTGCGGCAATCTTAGAATTTGTCACGTGAGATTTCAGAACAAGCAACGACTAAGGGTTTCTGTGTTCGGACAAATTTCTGGAAAGTATTTTATCTTGTCTTTTTAATCATTAACCATATATGATCAATATTTCAGTATTTGATCAATACTTCTTTATAAAAGAATTATATAATCCGCTAAAGAAAGAAGAAAGAGTTATACAAATAGCTAATATTGTCCGAAGGAAATTATTTGTTTAGCAATCGTTAAAAGTTTCTTGATTTTCTTTCCAGATTCTGGAACTTTAAACGAATTTTCAGATTTCTAAAAATAGTGGGATGCAAATAGTATACTTATTGACTAGAGTTTTATGAGGACATAACACTATTCGTTTAACGATTAGTATTTTTCGTTTATCGAATAGAACTATTCGTTTTATGAATTGTTCTATTTGTTAAATAAATAGTACCACTCTTTTAACTTCGTAAACGACGTTTAACGAACATTCTCTATTTGATTTCGTTTAAATTCGACTGGCGAAGTTGAACAAACTTTGCCGGTACTTACGTAAAAGTCGAAACATTATTATTTATAGAAACAGTCGGATTATTATCTTTTACAAAATTTTCTTATACTTTTTTTTTATATTTCTAAAGCAAACAGTGTTTCATTTTGAAAAAGTATTTAAAAATACGTTTCAATGCATAATCAGCAATATCTAAATATTTTTATATTTGTTCTTATTTTGAAACCTTCTTCGACTTTAGTTTCCTTTCATATTAAAAAAATATATATATGAAAGGACAAGGTTGCTAAGCAATTTTTTTTTCATTGGTGTATATAACCTTGCGGGTATTTAAGTTGCATACTTAAGTAATACATATATTTACGTATACGCATGCAAAATATTTTGAACTTGCCTCTTCTTATTGTAGGGAGTACTTTTTTGAGAATACCTTCTTTTAAGCATCTACGTTTTAAATCTTGCCCATGCCCCTCTTGCCCATTCCCCTTTTTCTAGTAGCTAGGAAGTTTATAGATTATAAAAATTATTTTTATTTATTTGAGTACTTACTTTTATTTATCTAGGCTTATATGGTTTGTGCATATCTTTCTCTACCTTTCATATAGTTGGTGTATAACTATTACAAAAAGGACTCTTAGCAGCGTGATAACATATTTTAAATAAATAATAATAAAAAAAAATAATTTAAAATGTATCGACTATTAATGTCTATTTCCCTTTTACTTATTCTGCTCACAATACTGCCCGAGAGTTTTTTGCAAAAACCTTTTAAAGTTATTTCTATATATTTAAAATTTTGACACAAAATTCAACCAAATATATATGACACATTAAAACCAATTTATCATGCTTTTTAAGTAATTAGTTTGATTTTAGCTTCAATGTTGTCAAAAATACTTCAATGCTGTCAAAAATTAAAAAAAATTTACAAGTGGGTAATTCATAAACCTAATACTAATTAGATGTTAAAAAGTTCAAAAACACAAAAAAACGATAATTTTTTAAATCAAGATTCAATATATTTTAACTCATTAGACTTTATTTTGCAGCGGTGGTTTGCTTCTCCAACCCTCCCATATATCCCTCTCCCTGATGAAATAATAAGCAATATTTTATCACACGTTTAAGGATTTCAAACAAATTAAACTTTCATTCTTTTGAAACAGTTATTTCTTTTGAGTTTTCTTTCAAACGGAAACGTATATTTTCGTTTCCTTATAAGTTTTCTTTCAAACAAATGATGATTCGTATTAAACAATTGTCATCACGATACAATTGTGTACCTAACAATCTCGAATAGCCAGCTAAAAAATAATTGGCTAATTTAGGTCGCACATGGAATTCTTTTTTTTAAAATGGCGACACTATTATGCAACTTTTTGATAGCAGATCGTTTTAAACTCAACGACGCCTCCTCTCCAGCCAATAAATCTGCAACAATCTATAATAAGAAGTTCATTATTTAATGCTCTATTTAAAAATAGAAAAGTTCAAGTTTTATAGAAAAATAAGAAAAAAAATACAGTAAAAAAGGAAAAAAAGTAAAAAAAAACGTGAAAAAAATGTTAGTAAAAAATTATGAGTGATAGTAAGTGAAAAAATAATAAAATAAAATGCTTAAAAAGTGAAATAATAATAACAAGTACATAAACAAAAATAATTTTAATGTTAAATTTATTTTAAAGATAATTTAAAAATGTTACTTAAAACTAATTATAAATATAATATCATTATTCTTTAACAAAAACCTTAGAAGCTGATTTCAGATTAGGAACCACATTGTCGTTTGCAGCTGTAGGAATAGAGTGTCTTTTTTTAGCAGCTTCTGTCGCCATTTTCAAAGTGTCGAGAAATCTTTGGAGATCCATACCTTTGTTGTTTTTAATGATGTCAGAAAACGACCTTCTCCACATACGTAAACTCTCCTTATCCTGAATCTCGATTTGATGTTGAACATCTTTTATCCATTTTGCGGTACCTTTCCATAGAAAATCAAACTGACAAAATTAGACAAAAGTCTAGGATTTAAAAAAACTTTAAATTTTAAATTATTAATTCAATTTTATCATCTTAGAGCATTTATTACTTATTTTTTACACTTTATATATATATTTTTTATCTATCTTTATAAATTTTACAATATAATCATATTTTATCTATAAAATTATTAACGTGGTATTTATATTTTTATATACTTTAACCAAAAAAAAAAAAATTTGTTACCATTTTTAACTTTGTATATGTAAAACATAGCATCTTCTTGCCTCTTAAGGCTAATATTTTCCCGAACACCTGTAATATTAGAAACTTTCCAAATTCAGAATACTTTAACATTTTTTTTTTAATTTAAGTTTTTAATAATAAGAAAATTTAGATGTCAAATCTTATAAATTTTATCAAAATTTAGAAAGTTATACTATTTTGTTTTTATATATAAAGACATAATAATGTTTCAAATAAAAGTTTTTATTTTTACTTTTACTTTAATTAACTTTTTTTAAATCATTATAAAAGTTCTTTTGTAAAACAGAAAAAAAAAATTTTCTCTTCGTAAATTTTTCTCTTCATAAATTAAAACAGATTTTTCTCTGCGTAAATTTTTCTCTTCATAAATTAAAACAGATTTTTCTATTCATAAATTTTTCTCTTCATAAATTTCTTTTAAACAAATGTTATAAAATGTTTTTAAGTAAAAATTTATTTAATTTTAAAATAATTTACATAAACTTTGTAATGTAATATCCTCTACAAAGGTCATTTAGATTTAAAGAATTGATTTGATTGATTTATCAATCAAATCAATTCCATAAATCTAAATGAATTCAATGACCTATTCTATAGATCTAAATGAATTCTATAAACCTGATTTATACTAAATACAATATGTGGAAAAATATATAAGGTAACCTATTCTTCCTGCCATAGAACAAAGATCAAAGAGATCTTCATATATATATATATATATATATATATATATATATATATATATATATATATATATATATATATATATATATATATATATATATATATATATATATATATATATATATATATATATATATATATATATATAGATATATATATATATATATATTATATATATATATATATATATATATATATATATATATATATATATATATATATATATATATATATATATATATATATATATATATATATATATATATATATAGATATAGATAGATATAGCATTTTATAACATAAAAACAAATAATAAAATGAAAAAAAATAAAGAGTAAAAAAAAAGTTTTACAAAAAATAAATTTTTTATAAAAAGCTTACAGTTTGATATTATTTCCTCTTCAGCAAGTTTAGTTCGAAAAAGAATTTTCTTTGCCTCAGATGAAAATTGCTTTTTCTCTTCTTTCAACTTGCTGAGCAACAAACTGACAGCATCTGATACAACTGCATAATTTGAAATCAAGCCTTTAGTTTGACTGCATTTGTTTGGATCATCTTGGTCTTCCAACATATCAGTATCTATATGACAGATGATTTTATTTTTTATGTTCTTACAAATTACGAATAATTAGCACAAACAAATAATATTCTTTATTAAAATATTGTATTTTTTAGTACCATAATTATTAACTTAACTAACTTTTTACAGGAAAATATATATAGTATAAAAAAAAACCTTTTTTTTCAAAATTAACTGGCTTTTTTTTCATATTTTTAACTTTTTTTGAGTGTTTATTTTAATATTTTAACATATTTTAATATACATTTTATTTTAGTTTATTTTCGTTTAATCATTATGTTTTATATTTTCATTTAATCATTATGTTTTATATTTTCATTAAGATAAATATTTATATATTTATGAATCTAAAAAAAAAAAAAAACTCTTAGTGTAGACACTGACATCATCTAAAGATCATCACGATAATCATTATTTTTAACAGGGTATGATTGAAACAGCAAGGTATAAATAAAACCGCAAGGTGAAAAACAACAAGATATGATTGAAACAACAAGGTATGATTGAGTTATGATACAAACTTTTTTATGTTAAAACAATTAACAAGTGTTAAAGGTAAAACCAAAAAAAAAAAACGGGTTAAAAAATATTGTTTACAAAAAATGTTTAAAATACTACTTCATAAAACTTATTAGCATCAACAGCAGAATGAGCAAAATAAAAAAAAATTTACCCAATGGTGGAACATCTTCTTTTGAAGAATGATTGTTAGAATAAACAGTAGAATCATGATCTTCCTCTAGTATCTGTGTAAAAGGAGAATCATCTTGTGAAAAAGCCCATGCAGAATCACTTTCAAAAACCTCAAGTGTGACATCATCACGAACCACAACCCTCGGTGAGCAACTATACAGCTGATGAAAAATATATTTTTCATTTGGTGTACTTTGAAGAGCTGAAAATCTTTTGTCCTTTGATTGAATAAAAAAATACATGGAAAATTTTAAATAATAATCTATCAATTAATATAAAAAAGTTAATATAACAATATAACAAAAATGCACCAACAAACATATTAAAACATTAAAATATAATATAACATAATAACATACAAAATAATATAAATATAAATAATATTATAATAAGATTTATAAGTATAATATAAATGCATCAACAAACAAATTAAAATATAGTTAAAGATGCTGTACAAACAAACAAAAAAATAAACAACATAAAAAAAATGTAATATACAACAATTTATAGCTTGGTTTCCAATTACTCAAAAAAAATTATGCAACACTTATATTACAACTTTGTACAAGTGAAACATTTTGCAGCAAAAATCGCACAGCTTATCATCAATTTTTATACAACAACAAAGTTTATGTTGTAAAAAAAAAAAATTCAGCAACAATTGTTATACAACAGAAGTATTGTTATACAATAGCACAACTGTTGTATAACATTTCTACATATATTGGAAACCACACATATATTAACCAATAATTCAAAGAACCACTAATTTTGATATGTGTTTACATTTGTGTTGACTGCACTAAAAAAAAAAGCTTTATAATGCATCTCTTTCTTTTATCAACAAAAACTTGTTGCTTAAAAAAAAAAAGGTTGTTGCTTAAGTAAGCTCCCATAGTTTTCAAGCTTTCATCATCTTGTTCCATCAACCTAAATTTTTCATTGCTTGTCACTCAAAAAATAACTTTAAACCTGTTGAGTGACAAGAAAGAGATTAATTTTAAATAAACCAAGACAAAAATAATGAATGAAGTTTTTTATTCTCTTTTAGAATGTCTAGAAGAATATCAAAAATTCCATTAGAATTTCCAGAAAAATTTCAAAAGTTCTTTTTCTACTTGTTTTATTCACTTTTTAAAATAAACACTTTTTTTTAAAAAAAGTCAGAATTAGTACCATCATGATCACCCTGGCAACATCCAGTATAATTCAACCTGCTACTGGTAACATCCAGTACAATCCAGTACACATCCTGCTGCTTTTTAGAACTTGTTAATTCTGACTTAAAATACACTTGGGGCTTTTGGTTGAAAAAAATTTTGAAAAGTATATTATGTTGGGTCTAAAAAGAAGCTAAATTTTATGAAAAATTAAAATTAATAATTGTTCTATATATAAATTTTACGGATTGAAAAATATTGTATATTCATATTCAAAAAAAATATTATATACATATTTAGTAAAAAATATAAAAAGTAATCTTTTTTAAATAGTTTTTTAAAAATTTATAAATTTTCGCTTCCTTTTGAGACCTTAATTTACAATAAAAAAAATTTTTTTGATAATAATTTTGTCTGATGTTTAACGATCATGCAAAACACCTAATAATTAAATCATCTCAAATTTTTACTAAACTTTCGTTTTAGTATAAGGATAATAGTAAGAGGTTCCAATGTTATGGATTACCCTGATACAACTTTAAATATAAAGTTGAGGAAATGTGAATGTATTAACCAGGTGTGTTAACAAGGATATAAATTTGATAGCCGTTTTTTTTTTGAACTGGGAAAACAATTTAGTGATAATTTAGTATTAGTTAAAGTGTTTTTAATATTTTGAATAAAGTTATAATTCAAACAAAAATAACTTGATAGGCTAGTTTTGATGGATTAAGATTAATACTAGCCATTTTTTATACTACCATAATCACAAAAAAATAAAAAAAGAGACCATCAAGAAGCCATTAAAAAGTAAAATTGACATTTGCTTGTAGTTAAGATTTCATAAAAATAATAAAAAAATTATATTTAAATCAAAAAAATTGAGAGAACTCATATTTATTGAAGTTTATAAATTAAGTTAATCGAACTCTCAAACAAGTTGTTGTTAACTATATATATATGTATGTATGTATATATATATATATATATATATATATATATATATATATATATATATATATATATATATATATATATATATATATATATATATATATATATATATATATATATATATATACAGGGCCGCCAAGAGGGAGGGGCAATTGAAGTAGTTTGCCCCGGGCATCACATCCTATGGGGCATCACATATGCCTTAAAAAAAAAAAATTAAAACTTAAAAAACTTCAGCTGATAATATATTTTAAGCTCAAGCAATTATTCTTTAATAATTTTGTTCTCCTTTTAAACTTTGTGTGCATTAAAAATAGGATAATTATTACTTTACAAGGTTTTCATTATCCATTTGAACGCATGCATTTTTATTGGCCTTTTGTTTACAAAATATAGTAAAGATTATTTTCTTATTTAATGGTATGTAAAACTTTTTTTGGAAATGAAATAAAATTAGATATGAAACAAAGCTATGGAAAGTAATTTTATGATGCATTCTGGATGTCACAATTTTTCTGGCTTCAAGAAAAATAACGTTTAGGAGTACTGTTTTTAAATTTTAAATTTATATTTTGCAACATTTTATTTATAATTTAAAAATCTAAGTTAAAATTTTAATTGGATATAAATATGGATTACTATTTTGATATTTTTTTGTTTGCAATCCAATCATAAATTGTTCAAAAATGGGAATGGAAAAATAGGAATAAATGCTTTTCTTCTTTATGGAGCTTATTTGCAATCCAATCACAAATTATTCGAAAATGGGAATGGAAAAATAGGAATGAACGCTTTTCTTCTTCTTGGAGCTTATTGCTAAGCACCAAGAAAAAGAAAAGACTATGCAAGCTTTTTACTTATCCTGAAAATCACAGAATTAATTTGTCGAGTATAAAGGTTCTAGAAGTTATTAGAGAAATAAAAAAACACAATATATTTCACCATCACTACAGACAGCAGTCTGGGTTCATCCCACAGCTGTCAAATTACTTTTATTTTTCGTTTTTTGCATTTCAGAGATAATAATCTGTGGGAGGTCAAAGAAAAGATTCCTTAAACTAGAATAACTTGAAAAGAAGAAAGGATCTGATACAATCAAGTTGATATTAAATGAGTTGGAAGGGAACAAGCTCAACATGTCAAGGTTACGACAATGGCGCTAATAAGGCAGGTACTTACAATCGAGCTCTGCTCACAATTTGAATATATGTGCAGTACAGGAAAGTACAGTAAAGATTATATAGCTTTTGAATATTTCCTATTTTGGAAATATTTAAAAGCTATATAATCTTTTCAGCTGCAGCCCAGTTCGTTGGAAAATTCTTCAGGAAGAGACAGGCCAATCATTATATAAACTTTCTGTTATATAACAGAGCTCAAGGATTGAAGCAGTCAAGCTACTAGCAAAAAAGCCAAGGAAGATCTTGAAATCATTACATCGTCCAAAAGAGTTAGACCTTTTAGGAGAAAGTAGTAATGAAGTGCATTATCTAATTAAATAGATGAAATTTTTTGGGTTTTTTTGTTTTTACTACTTCTTGGTTTAAATGTTTGATTAATAACACGAGTCTTCATCTTCAATTCACTCAACTCACTTTCGATGATCAAGTAAAGATTCTGAATTAGCCTTTTGACAGATCCGGATCAAATCCGTTTGTCTTGGAATCTGATTATATCTGATAGAGGCAACAGGAGTTGCATTTTGAAATTTAATGAAATTATATTTGCTGTGAAGAAAACACCAAAAAAGAATGCTTTCTATGATGAAACTGTTAGTTACAACCAGAACAAAGTAGAAGCATCCAAAAACTTTGAGCGTATTGCCTTCAATATTGCACTCAACAATCTGACTAGTCAAATGAAACAAAAATTTAAAGTAATATAAGAAGAATGGAACAAGTTTTTCTTCCTTTGGTCTCCACAGAAATCTCAAACAAGAAGTTTCAAAGCTTAGAATCTGGCTAAATGTTACCAAAAAGATTTATTTAAAAACGAATTTTCTGATGAAGTTAGGCATTTTTTTTCGTAAGAAGAAATATTTTAGTCAGCAAAAAGCCTGTCGAACTTCTAAATGAGGTTTATGCAAATGGTTGCATTCAATATTTCCTCAAGCGTTTGTTTCACTCAGTACTTTTTAAATGTTGCCAGTTTTAAAATATCAAGGTGAAAAATCTTTCAGCAAGTGAACTATCATCAAAGATTATCTTTGTTCCACACTGAAAAAGGAGTGATGTTACTACTTGATGATTCTTTCAATTGAATCAGATTTAGTCATTTTTTACTTTATTAAATGATAGACTGCCTGCCCTAACCAAACCCTCAGTCAATGTAGCAGCACTCCGTTGCAAGTCAGGCTATAAGATAGTCAATGTAGCAACACTATGTTGCAAGTCAGGCTATAAGATAGTCGATGTAGCAACACTCCCTTGTAGCAGCAAGCTATAAGATAGTTGATGTAGCAACACTCCGCGCATGTTTTAAATATATACTTTAATAAAACAACAACAAAAACACCATTAATTAGAAAAAAACTTTTTAGTCATTATTATTGCGGTTTTTTTAAAAAACAATAAAATTTAATGTACTACCGCATTAATTTAATTGCTTTGACATTTTGACAACAATAAAATATAGTTTAATTGTCGAGGTAGCAAAATTTTAGTCGAAAGAGACTTTTTTTTACATTAAAAGTCTCTTTCAACTGCAATATAAGTATATATATATATATATATATATATATATATATATATATATATATATATATATATATATATATATATATATATATATATATATATATATATTATATATATATATATATATATATATATATTATTAAACACTATATATAATATTAAATATTAAAAAACTTAGTTAACTAGGAGCTAAAAAAAATTTTTTTATGCACCATATTTGTAGTGACCTTTTTATCAGATACCATATGAGATATTTTGGATTCATTTTTTTTACTTTGAATAACTTCTTTATCTAAATGATTATCTTCATCTTCATCGTTTGAAAAATCAACTTTTTCATCATGTTCTATTTCATGTTCTTTAAACTCTGTTTCCTAAAAAATCATAGTTTCAATATAAATCATGTTCAAAAACAAAAATATGACAATGCTAAAAAAAAAATTTATTTGTTAAATTGATATTTAAATAAAAATCAACAATTGATTTCATTTGAATACCAAAGGAGAAAAGAGTATTTAGTTTCTTTTAATATTTATATTTTAAATAAGTAAATACAAGTAAATAAAGTGAAGTTGTAGTAACTTTACCTTAACATAGTTTTCTAAGTTTTCTTTGATTTTTCTGACCTCATAAATGTATTGGCGAGCTTTTGCAATTCTTTCTTTTATAGAGGTGAGTCCAGGAAAAAGTTGCTCTGCAATAGACCTTGCAATATTTTTAACATAATTTCCATCCATGCACACAGGAGTTTCCAATTTAACACGCTTCACATCTCCAATTTTGACATCAATATTCAAGTCAAAGCATCCCTGAAGTATAAATTTATGTCTACATACTATAGTATATATAATAAAATATACTACACCAAACATAACATATACAATACCATATATAAAATATACTATACCAAATATAACATACTAAATTTAAATTTTTGTAACCAGTTAAAAATTAAAAAAACAAAAAAAAAACATCAAAATTAAACAAAAAAATAAAAACCTGTTCAGCTTGTTCTAGAGTTGTGTTGAAACAAATGTCATGGATTAGTATAAGATGTTTTTTAGTAAATTTAGCCACGGCATACATAGCTTGTCTACCTGCAGATGCAGCTTTTTCTATCTCCATGCTAGCTCTTTTTGTTGATTTCATCAGATGTTTAGACTTATCTACTAATTCCTCAGCATAACTTAGCGCTTTTTTTATTCTTGTAATTGAATCTAACAAAATCTAAACAAATTATGTTTAAAAAAAAACATCCATTTGTATAACAAAAGTTTAGCAAAATACAAACATAAAAAAAAAATCTCACTAAGCATCTAGCTATCTCACTAAGCATTTAGCCATCTCACTAAGCATCTAGCATTCTCACTATGCATCTAGCCATCTCACTAAGGATCTAGCCATACCACAGATGTTAATTATCGATTTAAATGATCATGTTCATTTAAGTTGGTAATTAAACAGTCTAAAAGTCTAGGAAATTCAACTTTAGGAAGAGAAGCAACTCTCTTTCCTTCTCCTTTCTCCTTCAACTCACATAATATTTTGTGCCAGTTAATCTTCATGAGCCTAGAGTAGATAAAAAAAGCAACCAGTAAACAATTCAGTAATTCTCAACCTTTTTTTTGTTGTTGCGGTTTTTAACAATTTTAAAATTTGTTATGGATTTAAATATCTATTCCCGTTAAAAGTATTTTGTTTTTGAAATCATATTATTTGTTAATATTAACATAATTATAAATCTAAAATTAAGTGGCACACTTTTAGAATTTCATGGCAAAAACTGTACATTAGGGCACAGTTTTTGAAAATCAGAACAGCACAGTTGATGAGAACCACTGTTTTAAAGTATTTAATCATAAAACATCTTGACTATACAATATCATAAACAACAATTTACTTATTTAAATATTTTGGTTGTGTATTCAGCACATATTATTATATGCTTAGTTTCATAGTTTTTCTTGAAATTTTACATTTTTATATCTGATTTAACTAAAAAAAAGACTAAATTCAATTGCTTAAAAAATATTGCAGTTAAGCAAATATTAAATTAGTATTTACCTCACTGAAAATTCTTTTCTTCTAAAGATCCTTTTCCTCAAGAGTTCAAATTGTTTGTGGTGTATAAATTCGTATGTGCAGGATGTAACTCCTGTTATATAGGCAAAACTACTTGCCATCTCAAGACCCGGAATATCTGAACATTACAAGAGGGACAAAAAGTCTCATATCTATAAACATCTCCATGCTAAAGAAAATTATTTAATGCAAATAAATGATAAGTGTTTTTCTGTGTTAGATTCGGCATCTAACAAATTTGAGCCAAAACTTAAAGAAAGCATGTTTATAGAATGGTTAAAACCTGGTATGAATAAACAGGTTAACCATGTACGAATGACACTTTCTGTTTAGCTGCTATTTTTTATACATATTGCCTATCTTATTAACCTGTTCTTTTTTATGACTTGATAAACTGATTTTATTGTATTTTTGTAATTATATTATTATTAGTTAGTACAAGAATAATTATATTTTGTATTTTTTTTTTTTTTTTTTTTTTATCACCTTTATAGGTGTTTTAACAAATTTTAAATATTTAATTTTAACTAAAGATGACTAGTGTTAGTCGAAACATGTATTGATTTTTATTAATAAAACGGTTTTAAAAATATAAAAACATAAAAATGCTGGTAAAACTTCAAGAAAAAACTATGAAACTCAGCACATAATAACATCATTATGTGCTAAATACACACACCAAATGATTTTTTTTTTACCATACCGTTTTGTTCAAAAGTGGTTAAAAATAAGCATTACAAGCATCAGGCTATATAGAGTTAATCTTTGAAAAAAGTTTAAGACTTTAATGCTGTAGCTTTTACATACTAAATTATATAATAGTATTTCACATTTCTGGAAAGTTTCAAGTCATTTCCATATTTGGTTCATTTGTTATAGCTTAAAGATATCAAACGTTACGACGTCACTTGTTGCAGGATTGCCAATATATATATATGTATATATATATGTATATGTATATATATATATATATATATATATATATATATATATATATATATATATATATATATATATATATATATATATATATGTATATATATATATGTATATATATATATATATATATATATATATATATATATATATATATATATATATATATATATATATATATATATATATATATGTATATATATATATATATATATATATGTATATATATATATATATACATATATATATACATATATATATATATACACATATATGTATATATATACATACATATATACATTCATATATATACATATATATACATATACATATACATATATATATATATATATATATATATATATATATATATATATATATATATATATATATATATATATATATATATATATATATATATATATATATATATATATATATATATATATATATATATATATATATATATATATATATAATAATTTTGACTGTAAAAAAAAAATAATAATAAAATAAACCTCCATTTTATTTCGTTTTTTTAAAGCATTTTTTTCAAGCAAAACCTTTTTTGCATTACACTTAGCAATACATAGAGTATCTTTGACAAGTCGTTTGCACTTATTCCACTTTGGACATGTCACCCAAACTTTAAGAATTTGTTTGCACTTCTGAAGAGTAGATGGACCACCAATACAAACTGTAACAAAAGATTAAAAATTCAAGATAAAAATTCTATTAGAATAAAACACATTTAAAACGTATTTAGAAATAGAGGATTACTATAATCAAATTGTAAGACTATGAAAAGAATGTTGTGTGGACCACCAGCAGTAGAAGAGTTTAATTGAGAAATGACTTGAGCAACAAAAGCTGGAGTGATTTAAATGTTTAACCTGTGTTATGGTAGAAAGAGTATCAAAGGGTCGAATTAGGGAAAAAGTTCTTTGTGATTATGTCTCCCTTATCCTTGGGAGACGTTATAGGATTAGACATGAATTAGAAATGGAATATTCAATTTATTTTTGTTAATGACACTGTCAAAGATTATCCAAAAGTCTGCAGAGCCAAACTTGTGAGGCAAGAATTGAAATTTAGTAAACTAAGAATGGAGCTTCAGACAGCGCCTTCATTATATTAACTTCTTGCAATAATGAAAATATGTTTGTTTTCAAGAGAGTTTCAAGAATCTTTTGAAAAAGATTTTCAAAAAATTTACAATTAAATATAGCAACTACACAAAAAGGTGAAAACCATGGAGTAGAACGATGCTTGACTTAAAGGTAACAAAAAGGATCAAAAGCTTATACCAGCCTGGATCCAGGGGGTTATGTAGAAAGCGCATTTATCAGAAGAGAGACAAAAGACAATGTCACAAAAAAAATCACAAAAAGAATCCTAGTTAGTTTTAGTTTAGTAGTAAGTAGTGTGATGATAAGGTCTGAATAAGTACGAGAAAATTTATAGAGATCATTGCATGGTCAGAAGCACCTAAAAAAGAACAAGGAGATAAAAACTAACTAAAAACTAAGGAGTGTAAGCAATTAGAGTTGTCTGGAAAATGATTACAAAGTTGATTGAAAAATGCAGAAGTTATGAGCTTTAGTGCAAGCGGGATCAGTGGTGTTAGAACCAAAAAATTCTGTGTGATGAGTAATAAAGTCACCAAGAACAGCAAATTGAATGAGGGATAAAGAGAAAGAACTTGGTCAATTTGGTCAATTTGGTCAGAAATTTAGTCAGAAACTTTGGTCAGAAGTTAAATCTAAAAGAGTGCAGTCTTGAGAAGGAGAAAGATAAAGAACAAAGTGAAAGGTGGTCAAGTAAAGAGGTGCTATGCAGAAACACATAAAAGAATGGTCAGAGAATTCAAATAATTTCTTGACAAATAAGTAAATTGATATGTAATTGATAAGTAAATATGTGTATGCCCAAGCCAAGCATGTGACAACTGGAGTCATTGCAAATCAAAGGATAATGGCCATTAACACTAAGATCTAAGTTAATGTTTACTGTTTAACATTTATTGTCCCCTTACACCATTTATAAGTAGTTACTTGGCTTTTCTGCTTTTCACACGCTTTTTCAAGAAAGGTCTACAAGCAAATTAGAGCTGATAAATTTTTCTTAGCATTCAAGGAGAACTGTTGTTATTCTTTATTTAATTTTACAATAAAAACTAGTAGTTTTAATAAATAAACATTTGTTTGTTATTGGTTATTTATATATAATTTTTTAGTTTGTTTAGATTCTTTTTAGTTAGTACTAAAATGATTGGTAAAGTAGTTTTTTTAGTCATTCTTTTTAAGTTTTTGTTTTTTAGAACAATTGGAAAAGAGCTAAAGCTTTTTTTAGTTAGCTCAAAACATTTTATTATATATATATATATATATATATATATATATATATATATATATATATATATATATATATATATATATATATATATATATATATATATATATATATATATATATATATATATATATATATATATATATATATATATATATATATATATATTTTGTTTTTGCTTAAAATTAAAAGGATTATTGACAGCAATTAAATTTTAAGCTGGAATTTATTGTTTTTAAGCTGGAATTCTATATATGTTGAACAATTCCATATTATTAAAATAAATAACAACAAAGAACTGGAAAATTGTTAATAATGTTTGTTTTTTGTTTGTTATTATTACTGTTTATTTTTAAACTCAGTTTTATTTTTTAGACAGATATAACTCAGTTGTTGATTTTTGTAGATTTGAGGGCAGTAAGCTTTTTTTTAAATTCTTTAATCTCAATTAAATCCAATATAATTGAATTTGTTTTATTTTTATATAAAGCATTTTAATAACTTTTGCCATTTAGAATTTGTAGTGTCAGTTGTTACTAATGGTTAGAGATGTAACTCGTTTTTTTGGTTCTTGTTTTTTTGGCCAAAAACCGAGGACTTCTTTTTTTTTTTTTTTTGCGTTTTTGCCTTAAAAACTACTCTTTTTGCATTTTAAACACTGAAATGGTTTTAAAATTTATTTTTGGTGATATTTATTAAATACTTGTTTTAATACTTCCATTTACCATACTTTTAGTATTGTCTTAATTTAGCAATTGTTCAATTATTCAAAAAAAAAAAAAAAAATTTGAAAAAGCAGCATTAATTAGAAAAACAATTTTTTTTTTTTAATAATTTATAATAATAATTCTTATAAGTAAAGACAAAGAAGTAAATTTTTATAAGTAAAGGCCATGAATTGTATCTTTTTTAATATTGAACTGTTTTAAGAATTTATTATATGAATGAAGTAACACTGCATCTCAAAATAAGTCAGATCCGGGAATTTTTGGTGTGGATGTGAGGGGGAATCAGGGCTTGTTAAAAATTTAGTTTATTTTGTATCAGATTTTTGCCTACTAAAAAAAATTTTAAAAATTTAAAGATATTTTATAAATTTATGGATTCTGGTGCGGGGTGGTAGGTTCATACCTTTCATTTCCCCTGGATCTGTCACTGGTTTTAAAATTACAAAATTATTTTTCAACTTTTTTAACTTCTTCAACTTATGTTCATTAAATTTTTCATTAATCCATAATTTTTTTTTGAATAATAATAAATGTATTATTTAATGGAATGAATCAGAATTATCTAAATAAATATTTTTATTATATGAAAGAAATATATTTATTATATAAAACACTGCTTTGCAAAATAAAAAAAGGTAATCATTTTCATGTTTAATATAAGGAAAATGAATAATTTTATTGAGGTATAAATCTTGAAATTTTTTAAAAAAATAAATAACTGTTTAGCCATTTTCCTAATCAAAAAGATAAATATTTTCATACCACTTTGGCTAAACACTGTTTACACAAAATTAGTAAACAAATATACCATAAGAATTTAAAAAAAATCCAAAAAAACCTACACCCAAACCAAAAAAACGCCAAAAAAAAAACAACATTTTTTTTGGTGAAAAAAACGCGACAGCAAAAAAACGCGTTTTTTTGCAACACTACTAATGGTGATGCCTTACATTTTATATAAAAAAAAAAAACAGTGATATTGTTGACTTCAACATTATTATCAGGATTAAATATATTAGCTTTTTTTAAATAATACTTTTTTTATCTACCTGTTTCATTAGTAGTATTTGCTACATTTAGAATACATACAAAGGTTTTATGATGGAATTCGGTAGCATAAAAGTTGTACATATAATTATTTAATTGCTGAAACCATAAATAGGGGTTTTAAATCTGCTACAGCTGCATGGATGACATAGCAGCAACTCTTCTTACAAACGGATCTACACTGCATGGCTTATCCAAACTTCCTGTCCCAATATTGGATAACAGCACCTGTAATAACTCCTAACTCTACACATGGACATTTTTTTTATTTTTGACAAGCTATTTGGATTTTGATTGATGAAACATCCATAATACTTAAATATGTCTTAAATGCTATTGATAGGTTGTTAAAAGATGTTCGCAACAACAACTTTTTGTTTGGAGAAAAAGTCATTTATTTTAGTAATGACTTTCTGGCAAATACTGCCTGTTGAGAAAAGAGGGCAACCAGCTGAAATTATAGAACCATGTATAAAATGTTCTTTACAGTGGCAATTAGTGCAGAAGTTAGTATTTACTGAAAATATGAGAGTTAAAGAAAGAAGAATTTTTCCCATGGCTATTAAAACTTGATAGTGAAATAATACCTTTCAAAAAGGAGGATCCTATTAAAGGATGGATTGAAATATTGCATCAGTACATTATTAGAAAAAAACGATTGTTGAAAAGATATTTGGAAATGCTAAACAAGATGATTATTCTAAACATGTCATTTCAACACCAACTAATGTGGATTTTGACACTTAATAATGTGGATTTTAACACCCACTAATGTGAATTTATCATAAATCAATGAAGTGCTTGAATGTCTACCAGGTGAAGTCAAAACTTATTTAAGTGCTGATCAAATTGAGACTGATGACCTTAATAAAAGAACTTTTCTGTTGAGTTTTTGAACAGCTTAACTCGTTCATTGTTTAAACCTTCATAATCTCAAAGCTGGGTTATGGCAATCGAATGAAAATATGTGCTCTTTAAAATAATTATATTAATGCAGAGGTTTTGACAGGTGTTTCTGGTGGTAAACTGAAAGCTTTGTTCATTAGTCCTGTAGATTGTGGCTGTTATAACTGATTTTAAAGTACCCTTATTAAGTTGTGATGTCCTGTAAACAAATTTGTTCTCAAGATATATAAACTTAAGACTTCTGTTTTTTTAATAAATTTATATTTATTATAAGATATACCTGTTATAATGTTTTCAGCCCATTACAAAATTACCTGTACAAAATTTATTTCAAAAAAATAATCTTAACCCAGAAGTAAGAGGAATGCAAAGCAAGATGAAATGTTTTATTAAATATTTTCGCATTTGTAATATATGACCTGGAAATGAATAGTTGATTACTGAATTTTTCTCTTTTGCTTTTTAATTTCTGCTGCATCATTAAATAAAATAAAGATAGCTGGAGTAATAGAACAGAGTGAAGTTTCAAAACTTATAGTTGAAAAAGTAAAAAAAAGACAAAGAAATAAAAGCTTTAGATTTTCTGTAACCTATTGAAAATAAATAAAGAATAAGTGTGTGTGAATCAGATCTGCCATGATTTGAATTATGAATCCAAACAGTTTGTTTAAATTAGTTTCAAAAAGAGCAAATAAGATTCAACTGATGGGAAGTTTTTTCCAAGAAGACTATGTTAAAGATATTTTCTGTAAAGACCATTCATAAAAGATATTTTAAAACAGTAATGTGTTGGTGATTTTATTTTTAAATTTTTTTGGCCATGAATTAAGTTACACAGGATTTGAGTTAGACAGAGCTTGGCACTCATAGCAATCAGTTGTACAGTTGCATATATGGTACCAGCCCGCCTCAGAACTATTAAACTAGGTGTAAGAGCTGTATCCTTATTAGGAAATAACAGGAAGAGTTGTATAGTCACAATTAAAGAGGCAGAGTCAGTCAAGAAGATTGAGCATTCATCATAGAAGACAAGAGACAATGTAACACAGTTTTACATCTATGTAAGATTAATAGGTGAAGAAGGCCTAAATCTGCAAAAGTATATGTGTATAAAAATATTTGTGTGTATGTGTGTATATATATTGACGCACATATAATTTTTTTGTTACTAATCATCAACTTAAAGTTATACCAGAATCACATTTGGCATTACACGTTGCGGCCAAGTAGTTATCTATCAAATCGAGATTGTCTGATTTTATTTGCAATGCTGAGAGTCTTTTTTTTAACTTTGTTTTCCAATTGTGTACTTTTATGATTGATTTTTTAAACCACAAGGCTAAAACATACAAATACATTAATAAAAGATTTTTGACCAAATTGAAAAAAAAACTATAAATTAATTTTATAAACAACTAGACCTTGTCAGAAATGAAAAAAAGGTTTATAAGTAAAAATTACAAACTTGATTCATGTAAGTTTTCCTGATTTTCCCTAAGTGCTCGTGCTGTCTCTGCACCTCCATTTGTTATAGTATCAGCAGATTCTAATGTTATATCATTCAAATTTGATGACAAACAAGATGTTATCTTGAGTAAAATAAAGAAATAAATTAATAACAATAAAATACAAATAAATGTAATTTTGAAAAACCTATTAGTTATCAATTTATTTTGAAAGTCAAACTCAAAACTATGCTTACTACATAAACTGCATTTTTGATATCTCCATGCCCATAAGGGGCCATAACTGTCATGTTTGTTTCAAATAAGTTAAACATGTATCCATGGAGATTAAACATAAGTCCATTGTCAGAGATATCAATTAAAACATCTTTCCCTATACCAAGAAGTTCTACATATGATTGAATTTGAACATCTATCTAAATTCACAAAATGTATTACTTCACCATGTTTAGTTTTATATAAATTTTATCATTATTTTTACAATATTTTATATAAACTATAATATTTTTTTCAATACATGTACAAATACTTACACTTTCTGGGGAAATCATAACAAACAACTGTGGCCCATTCTCTTTATCAATTTCACTTCTTTTCATGGTTAACAAACCATTTGATAAAATCAAAGGCATCATATCCACTACAATCTTAATCAACTTTTCTGTTATAATAACTTCACATCTTGACCTTATTGAAAAAATTTCAATGGCACCAGTTAATGTTAGGCCAATCTTTAACTCAGACTTTAAGTGAGAGATTTTCACACCTTAATTAAAAGGGTGCAATATTTAATAAGCAGAAGAAAAAAAAAATTATAATTATCATTAATACAAAAAACTCAATTAATATGAAGAAAATATATTTTCATAAAAATAATATAAAATTATGCAAATTATATTCAAATTACATTTTAAAAACTTTTTTCTGTTGCTGTATTAATGTCTTAAATGCAAACTTAAACCATCTGTTAATGTAAAGAAACAGTCACAATGGGTATTTCAGTATGATGTCATCAGCAATGTTTCATGCCCAGCCAAATTTTAGGGCTATGATTTTAAAACCTTTTAAAATAGAAAATTTAGCCTGTGGTTTCATTTGACAACTTTTGTTAATAAGTTATATTTTTAGTATACTTTAACTTCATATTTACACATTAATAAATGTAAAAAAAAAAAAAAAAAAAATATTGTGTCCTAATTTAGCAAAAAAAAATCACAGCTAGTTACTGTGATCTTATTTTACCTTGCCTAAGCAAATAAAGTAAGACTTACTGTCATTCAACAACCCAGGCTTAAATATATGTATATATATATATATATATATATATATATATATATATATATATATATATATATATATATATATATATATATATATATATATATATATATATATATATATATATATATATATATATATATATATGTATGTATGTATGTATGTATGTATATATATATATATATATATATATATATATATATATATATATATATATATATATATATATATATATATATATGTATGTATGTATGTATGTATGTATGTATGTATGTATGTATGTATGTATGTATGTATGTATGTATGTATGTATGTATGTATGTATGTATGTATGTATGTATGTATGTATGTATGTATGTATGTATGTATGTAAGTATGTATGTATGTATGTATATATATATATATATATATAAATATATATATATATATATATATATATATATATATATATATATGTATATGTATATATTTATATATGTATGTATATATATATATGTATACATATATATATATATATATATATATATATATATATATATATATATATATATATATATATATATATATATATATACATATAGATATATAGATATATATATATATATTTGTGTTGATTTTACAGATATATTTGTGTTGATTTTATATATATATATATATATATATATATATATATATATATATATATATTTATGTTTATATATGTTTATATATATATATATATATATATATATATATATATATATATATATATATATATATATATATATATATATATATATATATAAAATCAACACAAATATATCTGTAAGAGTTTCTTCCAAATGAAAGTTGCTTCCAAAAGAAAAGATATGATACTGACTACACCTCTCTATGATGGAAAAAACATCCAAGACATACATAACATTGAGCTTTTATGGTAAAATTAATAAAAAGCGAGAACACTATTCTCCCTGAAAAGCCACGCAGTAATAATGCTGGAGTACTTGGCTTTGAAAAAAATATCTTCGCATAATTAGCTTAATTACGCATAAATATTCATGTTATTGAGGCTCCACACAATCCTAAAACTTCTTTACACTCTTTTCAAAAATTCTCGCAACTACACATAAAAAAATATTAAACCAAGTTATAAAAACTAAAATAGAATTAAAAGAGTGCATTATTTATTGAATGTATAAACATATGCAATTTTTTAATTTATGAAATTTTGGGTTTAAGTAGGTACAATCTACATATGAAAGAAAATTTGCTTTTTCTATTTTCTTTTGCCTGAAAAACTGTCTGGATTTAAGTTGACATTTAAAAGTGTGCGGATTATATTAGGACAGTGCCAGCCCAAATCCACATATACATTAGGGTACGTCATACTAAAAATTTTTTGAAAATTACATTTGGAGAGTGATTTTATTATGGGTTGGGGTAAGCTAAGCAATATTCAAACAAATTTTTTTTTTGGGGGTAAAAATTAACTTGAAAAATGTAAAAAAGCGCTAAAAAAAGCATTTTTACGACAAAAAATTTACAAAACTTTACTAACGCATATTAAAATTTCAATTATCCAATTTTTAACAAGTCCATTTGTAGTTGTAATCTATAAATTAGAGAACACAGTTACTTTGTACTTGTTATTTGCTTTGCATTAGTACTGAAATTAATTTGTGTATATTTCTATATTAAAAATTTGCAATATTTGTTGATTTTATTTGGATTTTTTATTATAATTGTTTTCGTTTTATAGTAAAAAAAAAAAAAAAAAAAAAATTGAATATTGTGTTATGGAGAGTTTAAAATTGACTAGACATTCTTCCACAACTAATTTAACTAAGTATCTTGGAGTAGGAAAAGATTGGTTGGAAACTGAAGTTCCTACACTAAGAGATGTACTAAGGAAAGGTCTACATATTCAGAAAAGTTTGCTTCTTTTTGACGATCTTGATAGGTGAGTTTTTTGAAATGATATTGAAAAGTGAATTTCTAATAAACTTTTAGTAGGCACAGGACATCCAATAACATCCAAAGAACATCCATCTGGACACCCGCTGGGCGTCTTAGGACATTTAAAGGATGTCCAAGTATTAGTTCAAGTCCAAGTATTTCAAACAACAATGTTAAAACAGTTTAAATTTTATATTTTTTGTAGGAGATGTCACCTACCAGTAAAAGAAATCTTGATGGTATTGGCAGACTTGGTATTGAAACAATGGTCTCAATCCAACGCTTTGTTTAAGACCCTGTTGTCATATCTCAAAAACGCTGTCAGGTAAAATTTTAACTGCCTGGCATAAGTTTAGAGACACTTCTAATTAAAAAAAAAACAAAAGAAAAAACTGTCAAATTGTGGGAAGGTAAGCTGGACAAATTGTTAGATATAACAAAATGTAGGTGTAACATATTACTTTGTACAGATGAAAATTCTCCTTGTAAGGAGGTTAAAAATTGTTCTGCAGGAGTACATATTTTATCCATTTGTTATAAAGCTATCAAGTGCATATTACACATATATATAAATTCATGGGATATATGTATATTTGTTACAGTTACCCACAGCGCCCAGAATTAGCTTAATCCAAATATTTATCAAACATTGTTGCTCATTTTACCATTTATCATATAGTCTGTATTTCATGTGTTACTAAAATAACCATTAGTAAAAAACTTTGCTACAATTTTTCCAGCAGTTAATTTCTTAATTTAGATTGTTTCTGCATGAAAATTGCTTCGTAGTAATTATTAAATTTTTTTTGGTTAGTTTTTGTTTATAGCTGAAAACAACTTGAAATACTTAAACAATAAGAAAATTTTTTGTGATGTGAGATTTTATTTTAATGCTAACTTGTATTTTTCAAATGAATTTAATATTAGTGTATACAGACACACACATACACACAAAGCAATAAAAATTCTCACCCTAAAAACCAAATCAGCTTGAGTAATCAAGTCCATTTACTATTACACTACATCAGCATGCATGGAATACAACGTTTGCCTGGAATACAATTATGAAGTTTGCATGGAATACAACTATGAAGCTTGCATGGAAGATATATAAACAAATATTATGCAAATATAAAAATAAATAATTCATTAATTCATAAAGTCATTTGTGAAAATAAAAATATACATACAGCATATTAAAAAATGAAAACATTAAACTTTTTTTTGAAAAAATTATAAAAACATTTACAGTAAAATTTTACACTAAAATTGTTAAGTTTATTACCTTTAGGATTTAGTGTAAAACCAATCAACAGTCCATCGGGAAAACGAGTGTCTTTCAAAACTTTAGGTAACTCAAGTTTCCACTGAAAAGCTTTAATAATTTTACGTAATGAAATGCTGGAAACCTCGCCATAGAAAAAAGTTTCTAAAACATTTATTGGATTAAAGTTTATGATTGAACGTGTACTTATCTCTTCACCAGAGCCAATTTTTCCAAGAAGCAATTCAGCAGTTAAACCTAATTATAAAATATTCATACATATTGCAAATGTGCATTAATATTGATTGCATCAACATTGCATTTATTTTCTTTGCATATGCAACAAATATTGATTGTATATAAAATTAGAGTGCCCATGGGAAAAACTGGAAAAATTAGAAAGAGCTGTTTTTGGAAAACATGTTGGAAAAACTAGAAAATGAATTTTTTGAGTATCATTAAACCAAAGATGCTCAAAAAATACATTTTCTAGTTTTTCAACCATGTTTTACAAACAGCCCGTTCCATTTTTTCCTGCAAGTGGACACCCTAAAAATATACACAAATATTATCATTTTGCAATTGCTTTCCTTTATGAATGATATATATATATATATATATATATATATATATTATTATTATTACTATTATTATTATTATTATTATTATTATTATTATTATTATTATTATTATTATTATTATTATTATTACACACACACACACACACACACACACACACACACACACACACACATACACACACACACACACACACACACACACACACACACACACACACTGGCTTTAACAATTTATAAAAAAGCCTTGTCTATCACTTTTCATGGTCTAAGAAGCAGGAGCAAATCTAAAATTGAAGTTTTAAATTTTCCACTTGGATGAGACAATATGATTCGCATTTTTTTAATCTTGTCAATTTTTTTAATTATATCAGGTGGACACATAAAAATGCAGTCAACTTAAAATTGAGAATTCTCTAAAACCAAAATTCTTTTTATTTTTTTTATCTTTTTTAATTAAACGTTACTTCCTTATCTTTAATTGTGTTGATAAACTTTTGTTTACAAACCAATGATTTACAAAATGTTTCAAAAACAAACTGATGTGCGTAAAAAAGTTGTGAAGTTTTTCTGCAAAAATCCTTTGACTTTATATATCGCTTGATTGCTAAATGTACACATGTCCCGCAATCTACAGTCATAGATATTATAAATAAGTTCAAGAGTACTCAAAGCTTCGAAAGAAAACCTAAAAGTGGAAGAAAAATAACTTTCCATAAATCCAAAATGGTAAAGTCGAAATTATCTTCAATTATAAGAAATCCAAACCAGTCATAGCGAGATCTAGCAAGAAAAATCAAGATTTCGCGTTCTTATATCAAAAAAGTACTTAAAAATGCTGGAATTAAAGCCTTCCACAAATATTTTTCAAAAATACACCTAAGAGAAGCTTAAATGGTGAAATTAAAGGAAATCGACGTGCAAAGTTAAAATAATGATCGATAAAAGTATATGTATAATTGAAGACGACAAAGCATATTGCAAGGTAGATTTTTTTTAACTTTCTGGTCTACAATTTTACTATGAGAACAAAGTTAAATCCTGTCGATAATCAATTTAAATATATTTGACAAGAAAAATTTGCATCCAAGTTCCTTGTGTGGCAAGCAATTTGTAGCTGTGGTATGCAGTCATCTTGCCATGTCACTAAGAAGACCTTAAATGCAAATCTCTAAATCAAAGAATGCCTCCAAAAAAGACTTTTTCCATTTATGAAAAAAAACAAATACCGATGTCTTTTTTGGCCAGATTTTGCTTCTTCTCACTATTCTAAAAAGGTTCTACAGTGGTGCAAAGATAATTATGCGAAAACTGTTCCTAAAAATGCAAATCCTCCAAATCGTCCTGAAGAACGCAATTGAAGGTTTTTGGGCAATTGTTAAAGGAGTTCTTTGTAAGACAGTTGGAGTAACAAAAAATTAAAAGGACTTCCAAAAAAGTAGATTAATGCCACCAATTAAAATTAACCTAAAATTTGATCTCTTGCCAAATAGCCCATCAAGCCACTTAAAATTAAATTAAAACTCTAATTGATGTAAACCATTTAATAATAAAAAAAATTGAAATAAAAAGCATTTATGGTTGTAGAGAAATCTCAATATAAAGTTGAACGGATTTTTATGTGTCCACCAATAATAACATACATACAAAAAACCAAAATAAGACAGCTTAAGTGGATTTTTAACATTTTATAAACAATATACATAAACAAATCACATATTTGTTTATATATATTGTTTATATAGGGATAGTTAAGCGCCAAACTTGCCAATACAACAAAGTTTTAAAAAAATTAGTTTTATAATAAAAAAATGATTTATGTTTCTTTGCAAACACCAATATACTATAATCAAAATTTTTAAGTGCACTGAACTGCAATTAC